GGACAGGCAGAGCCTCAGCTTTGCTGCCCCTGCTTCCACCAGTGCAAGGCCCTCACCTAGGTTTGCTGTGGGATGAAATTATCCACAGGATCCGATAAATCTCAGGGAAATCACCCTTTAATTGACCCCCTTATTTAATGAAAAGACTGATTTCCAATTTGCCTAAATACAATTTATAAGGCATTTCCACGTGCAGTGCAGCACAGGGGCAGGTGGGGCCCTCCCTGCCCCACCCAGCCTGGCCCTGCTGGCAGCAATCAGAGGCCACCTCTGGCTCCCTCCATGGCCATGGCCTTGGCTGTGCTCTGCTATCAAAAACAAGATACAGGGCAAGTGTCCTCACTGCACAAGCCTGCAGAGAGTCAGAGCTTGGCTGCACTCTTGGTTACTTGCACCATTCGACCTGCACTATTGTAAGATTTAATTGCAGTTAAAGTTGTGCTTCCATCTTCACCTGTCTCTCTCCTGGCACAGAATCCAGGAAGTGAGCCCATGCTGCCTGTGCAAGCATGGCTGTGACCACTGGGTTTTGTGGCTTTCTCTGTACTGGTGAATGAAGTGTGACCAGACTGACCCTGACACCAAAGATGGGTGACAGGGAACAGAGCAAGTCTTGCCCTCAGCCTCTCCTCTGACACCATGCTGCCCTTCTGCCAGCATCCCTACCTCTGGCAGCTCTAGCCCTGCTGGGAATGGGCTTGGCCCATGGGAAGCCTTGGCCTGAGATGCTCCAGGTTAATGATGAGCCTGGGAAGAGCCTTTGTTTTTGATGAATTCAGTTTTTAATGTGTCCTGGGTGTTGGAGGATGGTGAGACAACTGGAGCAGAGGGGATGCAGCACATGGAGATTGCAGGCTGCTGTAAGATGGAGGCAATCCATATGCTCAAGGCATGTGGGAACTCGCCAGGCACTAAATCAGTGCTTGAAAGGCCTGACCTTACACTGCAGCATCTCCCTGCTCCCTCACCAGGGGCTCTCCATCTCTATAAAAAATAGCCACTGCATTGGTACAACTCTCTAGATTCTCTCACGTTTCCTGTTAGACTTTCAGAGTCCAAACACAAGTGAAGGTCTCCAGCAAGTTCAGTGAATGTCCGTTAATCTTTCCTGGCTCAGGCACCCCGTCAGCTCAGTAAAACCCAAGTCCAGAAGAGTTCTAGGCTGTCAGAGGGATGGGCTGTTGCAGGCCATGTCTATCCCAAGCCTGCTGCAGATGGATTCCAACAAATCACCTTTCTGCAGGGGGCTGGATATGCAGGTGTATCCAAGGTCTCCAGAGACTGAATGAAGCTGGTTAGTTAATTTCCAGCATGGAGCAGGCTGATATCCCCCTGTCAGCAGCATCTACAGACACCCAGTGGCTCTGGGAGGAAGATGAGGGTTGTAGGGATGGAATCCCATGGAGTTCTTTTCTCCTCCTGCCCAGAGGATGCTGCCATCACAGCTCGCTTTCCCTCCTGCCCCCCCATGAACTGGCTCCAGGGAGAGGCATGGAAACTGGGACAGTTGACAGCACAAGAATGGGAGCAGCCAATGGCATGGGAAGGAAAAGCCCAAGCCCCTCCAGCTGGAGCAACCCCCTCCCATAGCTCGGGGAACAAACGCAGCAGCGAGCACAGAAACCACCAGGAAATAACAGCATTAAGGAAAACCCTGTGTATTTAGTACTAAATCTTTGCCACTGAGAAACACAAGACCAGGCTTTAGCGTCTGCCCTAATTTAGCTCTTTCCCTCTGGAAAGGACTATTTGTGAAATGCTTTGTGCTCATGTCCCTGGCATTAATCAGCCCCTGTCAGCCTCCAGCTCCACGGATCCCCCTGCACTCGCAGGTGCACTGCTCTATCCCACCCTCCCACATGGCAGGTACCCAGCGGCTCCAGCCTTTCACAACAGATATCCAAGGGGCTCAAAAGTGCCTGAAGATTTTTCTTTTAATTAAGGAGCTCTGGAGACATGCTACATTCATATGTATTTCCTGCTATTTTTTTAAATTTATTGCTACATCAGCTATTAAAAAAAAAAAAAAGGCAAAAAGAAGAAAGGAAGGGAGCTGCCACAAGCTGAGCGCCTTTTGGGATGAGTCACTGCATCACTGAAATGGCTGCTGGCTTCAGACTCACCCTGCCTCTGCGATTTGCTTCCAGACTGCAGAAGAGACCACGGCAAGAGGTTTTGCCCCTGTGCCCACATAGGGGATTTGCTGTTGGTTATTGATATAATTCACCCCGGCCTTCAGCGGGTGGAGATTCGCCTTCCTCAAGAGAGGAAGATGGGGGGAGACGTGAAAGGAAGAGATGGCAAGGCATTTCCAGCTGACCTGATTTTCTGCTTGTTCCCATCTCCACATCACTGCTGGTTAGCTCAGGACTGGCAGCAGGGGCACGGGGCTGGCCTGTGCCATAGAGAGCTGTGCTTTACCAGGGCCATCGCAAACACAGCTGTGCCAAGGAACGGCCCTTACACCTCAATTTGCTGGAAAACAGCCTTAAAGTGGGAGTCTCCCTTTCCTGCCACAGCTTGCCAGTGTCAGTGTGAAGGCAGGCCAACAGGCTCTGGCTGGCTCGTGGCAGAGTCAGACCTTTTGCCTCTGAATTTGTGGGGAAAAGAGAAAAGTCACCTCAGGTGCCATTGATACAGCAGCCAAGTCCCCTCTGAAGCATGCTGTGGTGCCAGCACAAACCTGCACGGGGCCTCTGCAGCCTGGGACATGAACTTCCCTTCTCTGCAGTTGCTTCCAGCCAGAGCCTTGAGCTGCAGCAGGAGATGTGGAGGTGTCTCCTCTCCGTGTCTCTCCAGCTCCTTCCCAGGGTGATCCCTCCAGTCTGGGGGCAATAAGGACAGAGCCCTATCAACTCCTTTCCCACTCATGATTCAGCTCCTCCACATGGCCCAGGGACACTCAGCTGACCTCCTTGAACTGGGAGAGCTGATTTTGGGGGGACAGGGCTGAGGTCTGCTCTGTAGTAGAGCATAAACAGGGCTCTGGTGCAGACACAAAGTACCAGATGGAGTGGGCGCCCTTGCAGCGCCAGGCACAGCTCCTTCCCTGAAAAATGGCTGGATGAGAACTATTTTCAGAAGGGAAAAGAAAATTCACCCTGATCACCATATGTCAGTGACAGGCAGAGAAAACCCCACGTGGGAGCCAGCCCTCCTCCTACCCTGTGGGCTGCACCCCTGTGGGCTCAGCACCCACCATCAGCCAGGCTGGCAGCTGCCTGGAGCAGACAAAGATGGGCATGTTTATCTTGCAGCTTCCAGAGATGCTCAGCCATCTCTAATTGCCATAAAAATAAATGCTTTTTGCTTCATATCACAGAACAGAGGAATTTCCCTCCGTCTTTTTTTTTTTTCTTTTTTCTTTTTTTCCTCTTTTCTGAGGCCTCCCTCAAAGTCATCCCTTCCCCCTCCCTCCGCTGCCTCCTTGCCATGTAAACAAGCACAGGCACACACAGTCTGACACATCACACACATGGAGACACGCTGATGGCCCTGCAGCGGCCAGCTCTGCCTGGCACAGGGACAGGACTGGCAGCACATGCGGGAGGCGGGCGTGCGGGCAGGGGGAAGGATGCTCGCCACCAAAAAGAGCTCTCAGTCCGCTTCGTGCAAGCCTGGAGGAGGCTGAGAGCCCTCAGGCTCCAGCCCCTCGGGCTATAATCATCAAGCCGATGGTGAGGACCCAGAGGGTGCTGCGAAGTCTCGCCCCGCGCGAGCCGCCTGTGTGACACCGCTGCTCTGTGCTGGCTGCCGGAGCAATGAGCCATCGCTGCGGGGACACGCAGCCCCGGCCGTCACCCTGGGATGGTCCCTTTCCCATGCTGTCCTTCCCATCCCTCTGCTCCAGCGGCTGATTTCGGGGGCGCTTGGTGCGCTGTGTGGGGATGGCCCCGGGCGGCTCGCTGACCTGAAAGCAGCGTGTGCCATGCCCGGGGCTCGCTGCCTTCTCCCACCTCCCAGAGAGCCTTTGGAGAGACACCGAGGAGCTCGGCAAGCCAGGGCAGCGCTTCCCCGCGGGGCTGCCCCGCTGCCCCGCACACTCCCAGCTCCAAGGAGCACGATGGAGATGGATCGCACGGAGGGAGACTGCGAGGGCAGGGGGGCATCGTGTGCCCGGCGCGGGGCGGCAGCGCTGCCCGGGCCCTGCTCGGCCTGAACGGGCACGGCACGGCACGGCACGGCCCTGCCGGCTGCGGGGGCTCAGCCCCAAGGGCAGCGCTCGCAAAGACCTGGGGTAGCCCAGGGCCGGGTGAGACGGGCACCCCCAGCGCGGCTGGCACAGCCATCCTGCGAGCTCTCCCGCCTTCCAAGGCACTTCCAGCAGGTAAGACTTCAGGAATGCCAGGGGTACCCTCGCCTGCTCCAGATTCCCGGCTCGGTTCCGTGGCAGGGGACACCGCCAGGCTCGCACGGAGCTGTGCGGACCTGCCAGCCGGTTTCGCCAAATTCAGCTCGCTGGTCTCGTCCGGTGCGTTGTCCCCGGGCATCCTCACCCCATCCCCTATACAGAGCTCGGCAGGGGCTGGCGGGAGGCAGAGGCAGCCACGAACCGGGCACCGGCGGCCTGGAACCGGGGACTGGGAACCGGGAACCGCGCTCTCCCTGCCTGCTCCCGCGCCGCGGCGCCGGCGGGCGGGCGGAGGGCGGCACCGGGAAGGGCGGCGGGCGGGACCCCAGCCCCGCGGAGCTGCTGCCGCCGCCGCCGGCTCCGCAGGGCTCGGGCTCCGCGCCGGGCGCGCTCGCTGCGGCGGGGGCGGCGCCGAGGCAGGTGAGCGGCGGCGCGGGGCCGGGCTCGGCAGCGGGATGCTGCGGGCTCCGCCAGCGCGGGGACCGCGGCACCGGCACCCGGGGCGGGCGGGGACGAGGGCAGCGGCATCCCGGGGCGGGGTGGGGACCCGCGGCATCGGCATCCCGGGGAGCGGCAGGCACCGACAGCCCGGGGACCCGCGGCGCTGGCATCCCGGGGCGCGGCGAGGACCTTAAGATCGGTAACACAGGGACCGGGGCACCGGCAACCCGGGTACCCGGGGTACCAGAACCCCCGGGCATTGCAGGGGTCAGCAGCCTGGGGTGCGTCGGGGACTCGGGGCATTGGCAACCCGGGGTGAGAGGGCAACCGGAGCAGCGGCATGCAGGGATGAGCGGGGAAGCGAGGCACCGACATCCCGGGGTAAGCGGGGAGCCGCCGTGCCAGCATCCACGCTCCGGGATGCTGCTGGATGCCGGGGTGCAGGGACACTCCTCCCCGTGCCTCTGCGGGCGGGGGTAGGGGAGTCCCTGGCCCCGGAGCCTGCCTTCCCCGCGGGCTGCATTCCCCCTCCCGGGGAACGGAGCACGGAGGTCCCTGTGGAGAGCCGTGCACGCTCAGCGTGAGACCTGGGAGTGGAGGCTGGCACAGCGCTGGGCTGTTGGTAGTCACCCTCTCCCGCACCCGAGGCGAGCAGGGAGTCCCCCGTCATCTCCATCTCCAGCCCTGAGCATTCTGGTGGCCTCTCAGCATAGAACAGCAGCTTGTGCTCTGCCTGCAGGGAGCAGCCAGCAGTGGGAATCCCCCTTGCATTCTCCCCTCTTCCTGCCTGGCAAACTCCCGCATCGCCCAAGGCAGGGCTTGGACCTGAGCATCTTCACGCGGATGAGCACAGAGACGCTCAGCAATGGGGATGGGGCTCTGCAGGGGCAATTTTGGATGACCAGAAGGCAGATGTCTCCCAAGTCCTGTCCCAGCATGTGGGGACACCACCTTGCAGGAGCTGGGACGCCACCCAGCCCCATGGGCCCCCTCAGGTACTCAGCAGGAGACTCCCAGTCCTACCCTGGTCTCATGGATATCTTGCACAGGATCTCCTCAGTGGTCTGCAGCCACCAGCCCTGCACACCTGGGACATGCACGGCCACAAGCCCCGGGTGACAGGGCATTTAGGGTAGGCTACAGGCAAAGGATAAGAGGTTCTTCCTCCTCCTTCACGCATTTCTAATGGCTCCTTTGAGACAAGCCACACGACTCCCTGCTGGGAAGCCTCGCTGAGCTGTAAGTACAGGGTTTTTTATTTGGGCTGTTAATCTAAATCCATTGTACCTGGTTGGAAAAGACCCTGTGTGCAATGCTCCCTGCACTTGCTGCATCCTCACTTGAATGTCTATTAGCACCTTCCTTCCCACTCCCCTGAGTTCCCTCTTCCAGGTAGAATAAATATACATAACTTCCATTAGAAAGCCTTCGAGATAAAAAATATGTTGTCAAGGGAAACTCTTCTAGCATTTCTTATAGACATGCTTGATGTGTTTTATATTTAATTTTTACTGTCATAAATGCATATACCAGGGATTTTTTTCTCCACAAGATAGATATTAATTTGAACGCCCAACACCCAGCTCACACTGGGCTTGTGTAATTCTGACGGTTGCCTCAAAATAGCTTACAATATATTTCAACATCTATCAGAAAGAGACTGGCTTGATCTGTTCCCTTTTTCCAATCATTCATGGAAATTTTGGGTCAACTAAAGGAAAATTTTGCAAATTCACTTTCTCCCAGACAGGCACATTTGTATTCTCTGTCCGTCGTGCTTTTAAATAAAAATCACCCGAGCTTCCAAAGTGAGCTTCTGTTTCCCAGCTGGTTCCCCTGCAAAAGTGAATGGGGTGCACACTTTGATGATCCAACAGGGGAGATCACACTGGGTCCCAGTTCAAAGCCCAGTTCTCTTCTAAAGCTGAGCTTAGCTGCTTGTGAAACAAATAGGCAAGAGAGTTATAAAACTATTAATTGCTGCTTTAGATTCCTAGATGAAAGCTGTATGTGGGCAGAAATAATTTGGTCTATTCATAAGCGAACATCATAAAGGAACATCTCTGGCAGCTCGTGACCCTTCTCCTCAGGCTGCTTCCAGTGCAGGAGGGATGGAGGGATTTCCCTGGGATACAAAGCTTGCAGGGTCCTGACACCCACCTTTTAATTTGGAGCTGGGAGAGAGGTAGGAGCCATCCCCTTCTGGCTGTCAGGGTTTGGCACGTCTCCCCCAGAGCCACAGCTGTGCTCTGGGGATGGTCCTGCTGAGCTGGAGCAATGCTTCAGGCTTGTCCTGCCATCCTGGGCTGTCCTGTGCCGCAGCCCGGCCCCCAAACCACCTTGCCTTTGATTCTGGTGGCCTGACCTTTCAGAGAGGCTGCTCTATAGGGAGGGTACAGAGAGAGTGTGAGGCTGGTTTTGGGATCAGCTGGATCCCACAGATGCACATCCAGGGCCCCCCATCTGTGTGTGTGTGCTTATAGCCTGAATGCATGAGCATCCTTCTGGAAGGAACCTGGATTAGTCATCCCTACCCCACAGATGGGCTGTGTGATGTCTTCTCTGGAAAAGCTAATCTGACACTGAAATTCCAATTTATCCCTGAAAGAAGGGTTTACACCCCTTCTTCTCCCTTGCTTTTGGCTTAAGCATTAAAAATTGATCCTTCTCTTTCTTGCCTCCCGTTTGAAAGGCAAGGCATGGAGTCCATTAAGCTCTGAGGTTTGTCACCAGCTGGTTGCCTCCTCCAGACGTGGTGTGATGGAAGTGCTGCTTGTGGTGCAAAGCTGTGTCTTTAAGGAGCCCCGGGCTGGGAGATGCAGTGGAGTTCACAAATGCCTTTGCCAGGCTGTTTCACACAAATCTGGCATTTCCTGCACCCACAGCCACGCTCAGCTTAAAAACACCTCCAGGGCTTAACCGTGGCTCCATTACCTGTTCCTCTGCAGCTCTGCCCTGCCCTACAGGTTTAGAGGTGACCGTGTCCCCCAGGTCCCTCCCAGTCTGACAGACCTTTTACACCGATGTTCTCAGACTGGAAAGCAGCAGAGCCCTGGTGTTTGACCCATAAATCCTGTGAGATGGCTGATGAGGAAGAACTCATGGGGCTCCCCTGGGTGTTGTGGCCCACCTCATGTCACTGACTTGGCCTTGGCCCTTGGTGTGGGACCAGGCTGTTCTCTGTGGGGTCTGCTGGCACCTCAGCACCACTGCAGGGGCCGCAGCCTTTTTTCTCTCAGCTCCTGCTGTCTGTTTGTGCTCTCTGTCCCTGCAGCCCCTAAAAGCTTGGAAAAATTCTGTGGGTGACATAAGACAGGAAAAAATGTAATTCCTTCACCAAGAGAGCAAAGCAGTGTCCCTCAAACTCCCCTACTCTGTGCCAGGAGCAGGGAGGTCCCATGAGTACAGGGCTGCTCCATGTGTCCTCTGGTTGTTTTAATAAATAAGGCAGGTAGAAAAATCTGATTTCAAGGTGGTGCTTTTTATTTGCCTTTTTGCTCTAAAATTCTGGTCAAGACAGGTAAATGCATCTGCATCTGGGAATGCTTCTCTTTCTTTGATGCTTTAACTGTCTCTCATTAGAAAATAAATTTCTGCTGCACAAAAAAGCCCAGGTCCCTGAAACTTATAAATCCCTAAAATGCAATAGAAATCAGAACTCTGGGTTTTTATTTCTCCATCGACATAAAGATTTTATTCAGTCATCAATGATTCTGAATCTTGTTTTTGTTATGTTTCAACATAATCAAAATAATCTTAATATTCTACATGGCAGAACACACAAGAGGAAACAAAACAGGCAGATGAATTGTTTTGACACTTCTTCTTCTCAAATTCCCCGTAAAATCGACACCTTCTGTGACAATACTTTGATTTTGGCAAAACTGCCTGTGCTGCTGGAAAGACTGCACCATCTAAGGACTTTTTGACCAGGTCTAATTAGTAGTGTGGGTAGTGGGGCTACAAAGCACTTTGGCAGAATCACAGCAGTGGTGGTTTGACAAGATCTAATTCTTCCTTCGGGAGGCTCTTTGGGGAATAAATCTTCTCTTCAGTGACTAATTACCTGTTTGAAGAAGGAGAGCCCCACGGGTGAGGTGCTGGAGGTGAATTAAACTGCCTTCCTTAGGCCATTAACAACCTGCAGAGGGAAAAACTTCAGCAGGTAAAAAAGCAAGGAAAAGTTTCACATGGAAAAATCATTGGCTTTTCTTTTTTTTTAGCTTCCATACCACAGGAGAACAACAGTCTAAAGCTGTTTTTCTCCCCTTCTCTCTCGTTGGTCCTCACTTCCCAAAATGCAAACATCCCTCCTCATTCCCCAGGGTGTTTCTGCCAGGAGCACCCCTCCAGCCCTGCTGTCTCATCCACAGGTGGAACCCGCTCCTGCTCTGCTGATCATGGTCAACAAGACCTTAAACTACTGGGGTCCCAGTTTTGAGGAGGACGTTATCAACATCAACGTGGGCGGTCTGCGGCGGCGGCTGAGCTCCAGTGCGCTCTCCAAGTTCCCCGACACGCGCCTGGGCCGGCTGCTCTCCTGCGACTCGGAGGAGTCCATCCTGCAGCTCTGCGATGACTACGACGTGAGCGCCAGGGAGTTCTACTTCGACAGAAACCCCGGCTTCTTCCTCTACGTCCTCCACTTCTACCAGACGGGCAAGCTGCACGTCATGGAGGAGCTGTGCGTCTTCTCCTTCTGCCAGGAGATCGAGTACTGGGGCATCAACGAGTTCTTCCTGGACTCCTGCTGCAGCTACCGCTACCACGAGCGCAAGCTGGAGAGCAGGCACCACAACTGGGATGAGGAGAGCGAGGTGAGCAGCGTGGACACGTCCCCTGATGAGATCTCTGACATCAACCACGACCTGCTGCGCTACAGCACCCTGCGCTGCGGCAACCTGCGCAAGCGCCTCTGGCTCACCATGGAGAACCCCGGCTACTCCATCCCCAGCAAGCTCTTCAGCTTCGTGTCCATCAGCGTGGTGCTGGTGTCCATAGCCACCATGTGCATCCACAGTATGCCCGAGTACCAGGAGGTGGATGAGAATGGCAACGTGCTCGATGAACCCATCCTGCACAAGCTGGAGTATTTCTGCATCTCCTGGTTCACCTTCGAAGTGTCCTCCCGCCTCCTGCTCTCACCCAACCCCAGGAAGTTCTTCAAGCACCCACTGAACCTGATTGACATTGTGTCAGTGTTGCCCTTCTACTTCACCCTCCTGGTGGACGTGACCATGGGCAGTGACTCGGAGCTGGGCAACCTGGGCAAGGTGGTGCAGGTGTTCCGGCTCATGAGGATATTCCGGGTGCTGAAGCTGGCTCGGCACTCCACCGGACTCAGGTCACTGGGGGCCACCTTGAAGGTAAACTGGCTCTCTATCTCCTTGCCTACTCCTTTAGTCTAGTGCCTGGTAGGGCTGAGAGTGACCTGCTGAGCAGGTAGCAGGCCAGCCAGCAGCTGCTGGGTCTGCCAGCACCAGTGTGTGTGGCTCGGAGCTGCTCCTGACCCCATTCTGGGAAAAGGGGAGCCCTCCTAAGGGCATGCTGCCAACTGACCAGAGGCCAGTGTCCAACCCCTGGTGTCTGCTCATTTAGGGAAACAGAAATCCTGGTCCAGCTGAGTTGATACTTGAATGCTTCAGGGTACAGTGAGGTTGGGACTGGCACAAAGCAGCGATAGAAAAGCAATGGGTGAGTCTCATGGTGTGGGACAACCAACCCCTGGCAGGGTCTGTGCCCCCAGCAGAGCCTGGGTTTCCAGCAGCTGCCCCTCAGTGTGATGGAAACCTTGGCATGCAGGGCTGGGGAAAGCTGGTCCCAGGACCATGTGGTCCTCAGGAGGAAGGTCTAGAGGAAATGCTGAGCAAGTGGAGGACCAGGATTCAAGTATACCTACAAGTGGCATCCCTGCAGGTCTGGTGAGAGGGTCCACATCCCCATAACAAGCTCCAAGACTGTGTTTCTACAGACCCCCACCCACAGCACCCCTGGCCTCTTCAGACAGACCAAGGACAACTTGAAATCTGTCCTGAAATCCTCACTATCCTGATGCTGCAGCCAGACCTCCATCACTGCAGCTCCGTGGTGAAGCAGGACCAGCTTCCATACCCAGTGTGGTTCTGCTCATCCCCACAACCTCTCCCCTCCATCCTCCTCCTGCTAAGAGCCATGCTCCTGAATCTGGGGAGAAGGAAACTCACTTCCTGTGCCTACACAGAAAATCCAGCCTGCTGCAGAGGCCAATTAAACTCAGCCTTTAATTGTCCCTGGTTCTTGGTGATTGCATCAACAGGAATCCTAAAGCTGGCCCTTGAGCCTGCTCAGAGTGACACATGCTCCCAATGCCCCACCACACATGGAGCTGGTGCTGGGCATGGGGGGAGGATCACCAGGGCAAACATTGCCTCTTTTTGTGTCAATTGCACAAATATCCCTGTGCTTTACCCCCTTCAAACAGCTGGTGTACCACATGAATGGCCAATCTTTGTAACAGAGCCTGAAATTCAAACAAAGGGCCACTCTTCTCCCACTCAATGCCTGGCATGGGAGGGAGCAGCAACTCCTGGTGCTGCTCCCTCTGAAGGGCCATGTCAGGGATGAGTAGCTGGGGACACCCTGTTTTTGCTGCTGCAGCAGTGACAGGGCTGGCATGGGGTGTGCTGGCCTTGGCTGCTGGGGTTGGACCTGTTCCCGTGGCTGAGTCACGGAGGAAAGCAACCATTGAGTGTGAATGGGGGTGAGGATGGGCAGCAGGAAAGGTCTGCCAGCTTCTGCTCTGACGCAGGATCAGCCCTGCCCAGAACTAATCTTGCAGAGCCCACAGGGCATCAAAATACTCCTGGCACCCTCAAAACCTGCTGAAAACAGAGTCCAGGGTGGGTTGCTTGAAATGAAGATGCCTGAAGTCCTACCTGCATCACGCTTGCTTCTGAACAGTCACCTTGAAAGGGCACTGACAAGTGACAGACTCAGGTAAAACCGCTGGTGAAATTTAAGTAAACTTGCACAGGTGGAAAGGATTCTTTAAGTCCTGCTGGTGCTCCATCCAAGCATGAACACCACCTTTCAGCAGAGCAGGCACTGATGGACTCATGTGCACATTACTAAGCAGCAAAGGAGGTCTGGGGAGCCGGCAGCATCGCGGCTCCGGCTTCTGACGAGCGGCTGATTCACCCAGTGACGTGCTGGAAAGTGCCCCTTCCCGGGGACTCCACAGCCAGCTCTAAATGGGGATGAGCAAAGACACAAATCTGATGCAGCAGCTTGGCATTGTGATTTAGTGGGCACATAAATTACAACGTCTTGTTAATCATAATTTACTTCCTATTGCGAGAGCAGAGAGCGGGAGCAGAGCAGTGGAGGCTGTTCACAGCCAGGAAGGGGGAGCGATGGCTCTGGCAAGCTGAGTGATTGCTCCCCTGCCACCAGAGTGCTAGCAGAGGGAATTCTGCCATTTGTGCATTGTAAACCCTGAACAGCCCTCAGACTGCTTGGGGCTTGATCCACAGCGTGTTTAATTTGAGGAGAGGCTTCCTACATGTCTCTGCTCTTCCTCCCCACCATGCCTGACATCCTTTAATGCTATTGCAGCTCTGTGGTGTGGGTTTGGATCCCCTCTCTTACTGGCTGTTGATAGATGTTGGTCCCTGGGTAATTACAGCACATACAGGGATCTTCAGGAGTTGCTGCCTGTCCCCTCAGGGGTCTAAATACATAAAGAGGAAGGAACTCTGCACATCCCATATCACCATGCTGTCACTACCATGGGCCATCTTTGCTCGGTCTCCACACTGCTATTTCCAGCAAGACTCAAAGTGGGCTCTTCCATTCCAATTCTTCTGCTGAGCTGGAGGAAAGATGTGCATTTGGCAGGAAGCTGCTTGGAGGGCTTTGTGCTGGAGTCTTTTATTACCTAGCATTGCCTCCTCCAAGGCTGGCTGCTTGCTAAGCCTGCAGCCCACCCAAACCTTGGTTAAAACTGCATCCCACCCAAACCCTATCCAAGCCTGCATCCCACCCGACCCTTGGCTAAACCTGCATTCCATCTGAACCCTGGCTAAGCCTGCACCCCACTCAAACCATGGCTAAAACTGCATCCCAGCCAAACTCCACCTGCCTTCCCCCTCAATCAATGAGCAAAACAGAAGTTTTGCAGATAAAGGGCTGCAAATAGATGGCAGCCAGTGCCTGAGGATCAGCTGGGAGGTTTCTGGAGCCTTCCCTGTGCTGCAAACTCTGACCCTGCATGTAAATTGAAGCAGCAGGAGCTATGGAGCTGCCTGACTTCCCCTTTACCTTCCCTCTCCAACACATCCCAGGGCCAGAAGTGATACTCTTTAAAAATGCATGAGGTTATTTGGTGCTGCTGGTCCCCAGCTGAGATGTACAGACCTGCTGTTAACTTCCAGCCAGGTCATTCTTAGCCAAGTGATATACCCTTGGCTCTGAGCTGTTTGTCCTTCTCAAGGAGCTCCCCTGGCACTGCCATAGGTGAGGGAGGAGAAAGGGAGGAGAAGGAGGAGGAAGGAGAGGAAGAGGAGGTTATTTGGTATTACTGGCATTATCTGAGCAGATTTTGCCAGCTGTCTAAGCAAAGTCTCCTCATTCCCTGCCATGAATCCACCTCCTTTTAAGTCTCACCCTGACCACAGAAGCCTTTTCCCACATCTGCTGCTGTTTGCTTTGCTCAAATGTTGTTTCCTTTAGCTGTTATGTGGTCTCCAATAAAGCATTCTCTGCTTGTTAGGAGACTGGGAAAAAAACCCCCACAAACAGAGCTCTGCTTTCCTTTTCCCAAAAGATGAAGAGCAAGCTGGCAGGTCAGTGGGCAGAAATATCCAAAAAATTCACCTATGGCAGTCAAGAAGTGATTGCACAAAGCCATGCTGGGAGGATGGTGGTGTCCCCTGGCAGTCCCTTCCTGGCATCACTTGCTCAACTGCTCACTGCCTGCTCCCCCTGGGCTTCTGGCACAGGTTTATACTTTGTTCAAATATTAGGAATATAAAAAGAAAGATCACAGCACGAAGGTTTTAGGTTGAAACCAGAGAAATGATGTCTTCTTCAAGGAGTGTTGCATACCACTGCCATCAGAGCTGGTGTCCCATGGCTCTATTCCCACCAAGGCTCCCAGACTCCTTGGGCTGTATCTCATCAAGGTGGGGCTTGCAGCACCCTGTAGGATGGATGCTAAGACCAGCCCAAGCTGACACTGGATGGATCCCTGATGACCAGGAAATTTGGTTTGGTGTCAGCTCTGATGTGATGTTTCTATGTGTGAGTAACAAAGGGTTTCATGAATGCTGAGGCTCAGTGCTGTGGGGGTACAGGAGGGACCCTGGGGCTCAGGGGTCCCGAGGGAACCTGGGCTGAGAGCTGGCTAAGAGCTGAGCTGAACCTGCAGCAGAGACCTCGTCCTCTCTGCGAGCAGTGCCAGCAACTCAGGAAGGTACAAATTGCTTCTTTTAGTGGCTGCTATTAGGTGGTTTCTGGGGACCCGCCAAGATAAAAGGAAAATGTGCTAAATATTGTTAGCTGAGATCAGGCCAGAGTGAGTGCTGGAGGCAGGGGAGCAGCTTCTGACGAGGATCCCTGGCTGGAGAGCCCAGATCTGTCTTCTCACGGGCTGGTGGAGTGCAGAGAAGCAGCTATGGGTGCCAGGAATGATTCCTGGCTGCACTACTTGCTCCAGGTGAGAGTCACTCCTGCCCCACCCCAGCCCACCCCCGGAGCAGGACATCCCACAGCAGGGGTGGATGGAGGCACTGGGATCCCTGTGGAGGAGTGCAGGGAGTCTGTGCAGGGCTGTGTTTGCACTGTGGGATCCCTGTGTCCTGATCACTGCGGGATCCCTGTGTCCTGATCACTGCGGGATCTCTGTGTCCTGATCACTGCAGGATCCCTGTGTCCTGATCACTGTGGGATCCCTGTGTCCTGATCACTGCAGGATCCCTGTGTCCTGATCACTGTGGGATCCCTGTGTCCTGATCACTGCAGGATCCCTGTGTCCTGATCACTGCAGGATCCCTGTGTCCTGATCACTGCGGGATCTCTGTGTCCTGATCACTGCAGGATTCCTGTGTCCTGATCACTGCGGAATCTCTGTGTCCTGATCACTGTGGGATCTCTGTGTCCTGATCACTGTGGGATCCCTGTGTCCTGATCACTGTGGGATCCCTGTGTCCTGATCACTGTGAGATCCCTGTGTCCTGATCACTGTGGGATCCCTGTGTCCCTCACTGACCAAGGCTCTGCTTTGCCTTCCAGCACAGCTACAGGGAGGTGGGGATCCTGCTGCTCTACCTGGCTGTGGGGGTCTCTGTGTTCTCTGGCGTGGCCTACACTGCTGAGAAGGAGGAGGACGTCGGCTTTGACACCATCCCGGCGTGCTGGTGGTGGGGCACGGTCAGCATGACCACCGTGGGCTACGGGGACGTGGTGCCCGTCACCGTGGCGGGCAAGCTGGCGGCCTCGGGCTGCATCCTGGGGGGCATCCTGGTCGTGGCGCTGCCCATCACCATCATCTTCAACAAGTTCTCCCACTTCTACCGCAAGCAGAAGGCGCTGGAGGCGGCCGTGAGGAACAGCGGCAAGAAGGATCCAGAGGAGGGCGGCAGCGACTCCGAGGCCCTGAGCGAGACCTCCCTGGACAGGCCCAGCCCCGAGCGCCGGGGCCTCACCCCCGGGGCCCAGCCCAGCCCCTGAGCCCCTGCTCTGCCCCTTGTGTCCCTGGGGCACACGGGACATGTGGGACCCACCTGGGGCCTATGGGACCTGCTGGGACCCACCTGGGGCAGGAGGGACCTGCTGGGACCCACCTGGGGCACACAGAACCCGCTGGGAGCCACCTGGGGTCCGTGGGAACTGCTGGGACCCACCTGGAGCACTTGGGACATGTGGGACCCACCTGGGACATGTGGGACCTGCTGGGACCCACCTGGGGCCCGTGGGACATGTGGTACCCACCTGGAGCACTCGGGACCTGCTGGGACCCACCTGGGGCATGTGGGACCTGCTGGGACCCACCTGGAGCACTTGGGACCTGCTGGGACCCACCTGGGGCCTGTGGGACATGTGGGACCCACCTGGGGCCCATGGGACCTGCTCACAGTGAGCACACCACAGTGGAGGAGCCATGGCTGGCATCACCCTGTGAAGGACAGGGGGGGTTGGAGGAGATGCCCAGTGGGTGCTGGCTGCTTCCAGACCTCCCTGGATGTGTCTCAGCCTTCCCCTTGCTCACCCGTGGCTGCAAAGGGAGGTTGTGATCCTGGATATACCCCTGCCAGAAAAGGAGGTAGAAAATAAGAGATACAAGTGACCCCTGATCAGGTGCTGCCCCAGATGTATGGAGAGGGATTTTCCTCTGCCCTAGTGTTTTGTGTTGTCCAGGGTGAGGTTAAATAGCTCAAGGATGAGGCAGCCCTCAACAGGCTGGCAGCCCTTACAGATCTGTGCTGTGTTGACAACTTGTCCTACCCCCAGCAGGAAATAGGCTCAAAAGGCTCAAAAGGCCATAAAGGAAAGGGGCTGGGAATGAGTCTGTATGGGAGGAGAGGCAGTGTCCAGCTCAGGGTGAGCCCCCCATGGGATGGGATGGACTGAACCCCAGCTTCTTCCCATTGCTGGCATTTATCTGCTCTCCTGCACTGCACTGACGGGACCTACAGGGATGTGGGGCTGTGCTGGGAGTGGGGCACAGCTGGGAGCACTGCCCACACGTGGGGAGGGACACTGCCCACACATGGGGATGGACACTGCCCACACACCTGGGGGTGGCCAGGAGGGCAGAGGGAACACTGAACTCAGAGGCAGCACAATCAAAGGGGTCAGGCTGGGGGAGCTGAGGAGCCAATCCCAGTGGGGTTGTCCCCCAAGCCCTGGTCTCCCTCACCACAGCCCCTAGCCTGGCTGTGTCCTGCCTCTTCCCTCCCTGTCTCAGGGCTGTAAGGAGGGGGTCACACTGCCCAGGTGTCCTCACAGGGAGCTGAGCCCCCCGAGTGCTGCTGCACTCACCTTCCCCCTGCAGGGAGAGAGATGGGGCAGAGGGGACCTTGCACTGCTTTTGTCACCATGGCCTCTGATCCCCTCACAGCCAGGCAGGGAGGCCAGCCTGGAACACAAACCCCTTCCTGCCTGGACCCCAGCCCACCTGAGCACTTTCGGGGCACAGCATTAACTCCCTACAGAGCTTTTCCTCTCCCTCCCACCCTGTTGTCTGTTTGGAAATTGTGCAGCTCTGTTGCACACAGAGGAGTGCACTCAGCAATGCCTGTTTCAACAGGAGAAACGTGCATCCCACAATCCCAAAGCACCTCAAACACACTTTAAAGGCTGCAGGATGACCCCAGGTACCTGGATCATGGCTTTGCTGCTGCTTTCCTGGCTGGTTTTCAGCACAGCTCTATTTGCTGGTGCTGGCTCTGCCTGTAGCCATCTGCTGGTCACGGGCAAGGAAAGCCAACACTGGTGCAGGTCCAGCCTTTCCAAGCCCAGCGGGACGCAGGGAGGGTCCCCAAGGAATGGTGGGGTGGGATGGGAGGGTGCTCACGCTTCTGGCATCATCAAGTCTTCCAGTACCAACTCCATGTCCTCTCTGTGCTTATTCCTGCTGGGAGCTGGGACTGGGGAGCAGCACCCTCTGCTCCAACCAGCTCCTGCTGCACTGTTACTTGAATACAGGAAGGAGTTTCCCCTTCTCAACATAAATATTCCAGTAGCAAAATGTATTCAAATGTGAAGAGTAAATTATATCTATTAATGAAAGGCATTATGCAAATAATTAGGAGCATGTAAATTAATTTTCTATCTATGCATGGGATGCATACTGTATATTTTATTAAAGACTTCAATGACCTGCTGTGGATGCTGGTTTGTGTTTTGTCAGTGACAGTGCTGCAGGTCCCTGTCAGCCACCTTGGAGCCCAGCAGAGCTCCCACCTCAGCCCTGCTCTGGATGGTGGGATGCTGTAGGATGCTGTGGGATGCTGTGGGATGCTGTGGGATGCTGGATGCTCTCTAGCTGACAGCTGTCCTCATGCCTGGACCACTGCTGTCATCCTGGCTGGAGCAGCTGGAGTAACCCACCTTCCTGAGGTGCACGAGGCATTCCTGGGGATGTGTTGGAGCTGGTGGGCTCTGGGAAAAGCCCCTCAGGGAGCCAGGCATCGCAGCTAGGAGGGAGGAAATCCTGGTGCTGTCTGTGGCTTTCTGATGCTCTGAAATGAGGGGGGTTCTCTAGGCTGTTGGTCTGCAGGGGCTGGCTGGGGAGGGCACCACTGCTCTCCCTGTCTGCTGGGCATGATGGGGTAAAACCAGTTCAATCTTTATTCCTTTGAGAGCTTTCCCTTAAAAAAAAAAATTAAAAATCCACATTCTGCTAATCATTCCACGGCAAAAGCTGCCCTGCCTTGGGGGATACAAGCAAGGCAGGATGTGTGAGCCCCTCTGGCACATCAGAGGGGGCTGGGGCACGAGAGCTCCGAGCTCGGGTTTGGGAAAGCCAACCAAGATGTTTTCTTTTTTTAGCCTCCTGCTCCCTGTGAAGACATTAGGATTTGTATGGCTCTGAGTAAGTGCACCAGGAAAATCCTCCCACTGCTGTGCAGGCAGATCTGGCAGAGCTGGAGCTGTGCAGAGCAGGAAGGTGCCCAGCAGCAGAGTGGGTGAGCACAGCCCACGCTCCCAGCCAGGCTGTGCAGCACTGGGCTGCAAGGACAGGCTTCTGTTCCTGGTGCTAAGGCAAGTAGGAAACTCTTGTTCTTTTGCTAATCCCTAATCAGTTTTCCTGAGTGGCTGCATTTTCATTTGATACAGTGGGTAAATCAATTACACACTTTATCAGGTTATTCCTACAAAGCTGCTTTCCACATTCACCAAATGATTGACTAAAGCATGACTCTCTTGCCTCCAGGGAATGGTGATTAAGGAGTGACCTTATTAAGCTGTTTAATGCAGCTGAGAATTAGACAACTCTGCTCAAAGAGACAAAGTAAACTTCATTACCTTTGTTTAAAACTTCTTTTGCTTTGCCAACTTTCAGATCCATGACTACCCTGAGCGTGGTCTGTGCACTTGGCTGGTGCACATTAGAAAACCAGGAGATTTTAAAGGGCTTCATCTATAGGAAGGAAAGACTCCTCACTGGTAGTGTTTCTGGGATCTCTCCTGCTCACAGATTCCTACAGTCCTGTTGACCTCAGCAGAAATCAGTTCTCACCGCTTGAGCACAGTGCTTGACACGTTGAATCAGTGTTACTTCTATTTGCTGAACTATGGAAGGAGATCAGTAAAAACAAACAGTGCAGTAATTCCATGGGGTTTTTTTTACAAAATAATGCTAAACCACTTTTGCCTTGTAGTGAGACAGCCCTGAGGTCTGCATATACTTATGGGTTCACTTTAGCCTTTTCCTGAACCCAAGCTGCTAACTTAGTTGTAGGAGAAACACAAAATCAAGACTTCTATTCTGACCATCTGAGAGAGCCAAATGAGCAGCCTTGAAGGCTTGGAATTAAATTAACCAAATGTGCCTAGACAGGCCACACCATTTCAGGGAATAAAACCCAGAGGTCAGGCCTGCAGGGAGGCACAGCACCAGCAATGTTCACAGCATCTTCACAACCAGACCTCGAGTCTGCTGACAGAAAAACTGCCCCACATTTCTTCCAAGATCCTGCTCTCTGTAGTGAAGGAATATTGGTCCAGAGCTTGTGAGCCCCTTGGGCTGAGGAAAATGCACCTTACAACTCAGTTATCTGCTGAGTCTGCATAGACAGGACTGCAGGAGGCTGCTGTCACCACTCAGGATGGGACACAGGGACTCTGGGCTCCCTCCACATCCAGCACTGTATTGGTTTGGACAGCAACACCCTAGAGGGGAGCAGGACAGTCCTTCATAGATGGAATTGCATTGTTTTAAAGTTTTTTAAACACATTGGCTTTCTTCCTGGGCTCTTAAATTAAAGAGCAATTAACTTTCAGTCTAGAAAGAGCTGATGGGTATTTCCTGGTTTGACTCGTCAAAATTTTGCCAAAATGATTAGTGAAATGAAAAATTGTCAACTCTCGAGGCAGGGCTGTCAGCCAACACTCAGCATTTATCCAGGCTCAGACTCTTTTGGCCTGTGGACAGCAGGAAATGGTACAAAATGAAGGTGTAGGAAATGAGTAGCTGGGCAGAAAGGACACTGGCACAGCAGCTCCTGTACCTTAATGCTTATAATTATTAAAAAGTGCTGGTGCTATGGGCTTTGTGGAGAGCTGACTTTTTCCTTTATGGGGGAGAAACCCAAGGCTAACCATCAGGGTAGCTGGTGTTGCTGGGTTTGTTAGCCACAGGCAGAAGTTTGTGCAGCAGGTGCAGTGCTGCCAGCACGGAGGGAGTGCACACAAACCCTCCCCTGGTGTGGCTGCACAACCCTCCCTCCCTTTGCTCTGGGGCTCCACAATAGCCTGGTAATGCTGCTGAGAGGATGTGAGAGCTCCAGGCTTCCCCAGTTACTAGAAAAGCCCGCAGCCTCCCTCCCTTTGATTCCCAAGCTCCTTCCCAACACTTAAAAGCTCAGATCTATTTTGTTTCTTCCGGAATTGCTAACCAAAGCTGACTCCTGAATGAATTCTGTCTCTGCTCCAGTTAGTCATCCCTCCAGGACAGATTTAGTAACTGCTCAGGGAAACCACATCGAAGCCAACAGTTCACCACGGGAAGGCAGCACCCACTCACTGTCAGCTTCATCCTTCCCTGAGCTAGAAAGCTCAAAGTGCAGCAAGTGAGCCAGAATTAGGAGCGAGCCTCCAGCCTCACCTGTTGTGTAGGAAGGTGGATAGATTGGGATGTACCTAGCCCCAAGTGTGCCTGCAGGCTCTGGGAAGCTGCTGCAGACAGCAAGGACCTACAGCAGGGCTCAGCATCCCCATCTGCCAAAGCACCCCGTGGGGAAATCATCCCTCCTGCATGGCTGGAGCTCCAGGCAGGGCTGCCTGTGCTCCTCCCTGCTGGAACTGCCAGAGCATCGCCTCCTGAACCCCACAGAGCTGCCAGCACATGGAGCTGCCCCTCTGCTCAAGCTGCAGAATTGGTAATGTTTTAAAACATGTGTCTGACATGTTCACTGCCCATGTTCCTGAAAGCTTGTGCCCTTCTCCAGAATGTTGCATAACACTGGCTGAGTAGAAGTGCATCATGTTAAAACTTGTCCTGGCAAACAGCAACACCCCCAAGCACTGCAGGGCATAAATATGAGACACAACACTGATGCTTTCAGGTAGGGACAGTTTATTTGCCCCTTTGAACAAATAAGGCAAGATATTTGAGAAAGATCAAACAAAATCTCCTGTATCAAACTGAGAGGAATGCAATAAAAGTTACTGTTCCATACATATACAAACTAAAGACCCAACACTATTATATACAAACATCCAGATCTTACAAAACAGCATTTCAAGTCAGCAGTTTATGCCAGTGTTGCTAATTTCTTTGTTACAAAAAAAGTTAAAGCTACAAACTTCACATTTGTAAGTCTCACATGACTGACACCATCAGTATCTCTGGGTTTTAGAAGAAAAGAGAATGGTTTGTCCAGAAGCCTTTCCAAATGCAGATGGGCCCAAGGAGCACATGAATGCAGCTTCTCAATTATTCAAGTTTTTTTGCTTAAAACTTTGTCAAAACATCCTTCCCTTATGGTACCAGCCTTGGTCATAGCTTGGAGGACTCTGAGGAATGAACAGGTACTGTGCTCCCAGACATTCTACAAAGGGACCAAAAAGGGAAATATTTTCTCCAACAAATTGAAAATCAGTGAAGGAGAAAATAATTCCTCTGTACTACAGCTCCAAATGCAAGAAACATCATTAAGTCTCACCCACTGCAAACATTTTAGAAAGGTTCAAAGACAGTTAAGCCATTGGACCAGTTTTAGTTATTTTGGTTCGTTTGCTATATTTTAAGACAATCACGTCAGCAAAGCAGAGTATTTCAAGAGTGCTTACATTCAGTTACAGCAGTCACAGGTTGCATATTCTGTAAATAGACACCACCTCGTGGTGTTTCACCTTAAAGTTGGGGTTTCTAATGCCCTCTGATCTCCACAGAGTTATCTATACAGTGCAGAGGAAAAAATCCTTCCAGCAGAACAGGCTTGACCCACACCACACCGGCAGTGCCCAATTTACCATGTCACAGATCTCTGTCACACCAGAGGTGCTGGGCTAGATCCATCCAAGTGACTTATACAGGATCCAACACTGACCAGAGAATTCCCTGCTAAGCTGGAGGAGTTTCTTTGAGGCAAAGGATACTCATGAAAATTGCTCATCATGAAGACATGGTTAGGGCAAAGCCCATTGCACAGATTCCAGATGAGCACGGCAGGAGCCCTGATGTTCCCCAGCACCTGGGGCTGTCAGATTGCTGGCTATCCCAGGATGTGCTCCTCCTGCAGCACCCTACACACACTGCTCACTGCCTCCCTTTTCCTTGGGGACAGCTGTGATCCCACTGCATCAGCAAACTGAGACAAACCCATGCAAGGAGGGTAAGGATGGCTTGGTTCCTTTCACAGCTGTGGAGCAGAACTGTGAGCAGCAGCCAAGAGCCTGCTCCAGTGGGGAAACAAGACCCTACAGAAACATGAAACAAACACATCACCTCTGTAGCAGCATTAGATTCAGGAGACACTGCTGTTTAATCATCTGGGTGATGCACCAAGGCCTAGTTCAGAAGCAGGATGTGGAAACCGTTCCCTCTATCAGAACAAAATAAAAATAACAGTGGTAGAAACACTTGCTTTGCCCAAACATTCCATCATATGCTAGGCACACCTAGAGCTGCACAGCTGTGCTGTCAGAGCCCAGGGGGCAGAGGCATTGCTCAGTCTCTGCCCTCAAACAGGCTTTGTTTTATTCTCCACTCTGATGTGAGCTGATTGCACCGTCCTCACAGCGATTGTACGTGCTTGGGGCATCGTGGCTGATTGAGCTATGCTGGGCAGGGATATTAAAAAAACCCAAAAAACAAAAACACAAGAGCATCCAGAGGAGCTGGAAGAGACTGAACCTCTTCCAGCAGGACATAGGTAATTGTCTTCTCACCCAGATCAACTCCGCCTTTGCTCCACCACCATGAATGCACATCTTTGTTAATTTAACAGTCTTCACTTTCAGTTTGACTCTCCTGATGTGCTAAACCTTGCAGAAATGTGAAGGATTGTGAAATCAACTTTTTGTTCAAGCATCCAAAGATGTAAATTTGAAATGAAGCCTATAAAATATTTCACAAGCTGTGGAGATTTTTAAGTCCTCTTAGACACAGCTGAAGCACCTAATTCCTGAGAGAGGTTCACACAACTTCCACCCATTCAAAGGCTGTTTCTTTTTCCCAGCACTCCATTCTCAGCAGGGTCTCCCTGAAGGACATTTCCAAACAGACAGACAAAGGGGTATCAGATCACTGACTGGCTTTTGGTTTTAAGTGGGTGTGGATTTTAAATTACAGAATGTAATTTCTTATGGAGGCACAACATGCTTTATCTACTCGTGTAAATTCATGAAGTACACAGAACAAGGACAAAACTGAGGTCTTGAAGAAATAACGCTTGCTTAAAGCACACAGTGTAAGGCATGGGGCTTATTACAGGCTTTTTAAAAACTGAGATATAAGTTTCTTCAAAAGGCTGGAACAGTTTGTACATGTTCTCACCTGCTCTCTTCAGTGACCTAAAACTCATCAGTACCTTAACAGTAGAAACAGTTAACAGCTTGAAATTGAGTCTGTGCATTCACAAAGGAAAACAAAAACAAAAAACCCACAAAAGAATCAGCTGTTACAGACAACCATCTGTATTAACTTAAACCAAAATAGACTCCTGAAAGTTCAATTGAAAAGAGAGTGAGCCAACTTTCATTAGCCAATTTCTATCTGGTTCCTCTGGTTTAAAAACAACCCTCCTAAAAACAGTAACAGAACTCTTTTGGAATTACGTTTTAAATACATGTCTAACACTAAAACATACAATCAGGATTTTCCACGTGACGGCATTCCTGAGTTCACAAAAGGTGCTATGGAAAAATAAACGAGCAGAAGTATTGCCCTCTATTTTGCTAGCATATTTCAATAGAAATCAATCTGTTCAGTAGTCATAAAAGTAAGGGGCTGATTGTTGGAGGGTGGGGGAAGGTTCCCCCCGTGGCTCAGAAGTTCTGCTGCCGCCGCTTCTTGGCCTCGATGGCGTCGAGGATGGGCTGGCGCTTGGATTGGTACTTCTGGCGAATCTCCTCGATCTCCTGCTCCATCATGGGGTCCAGGGCAGAGAGCCTCTTCTGCAGCTCATCCACACTCCAAGTCTTCAGCTAGCAGAGAGACACAAGAGGAACAGACGCATAAATCAGTGCAACCATCACCTGCACGCCTGCAGGGATCCTGCTGCTCCTTGGATGGCCACAGAGCATCTTCCAGCAGCAAAAGGCACCCAGAGCTCTGCTCCAGACTGCTGCCCTCAGTGAGAGGGGTGTGAGACCCAGGATACTGCTGCTGCTCATTTCACAGGTACATTACATGCTCTGGTTGCTGGCAGTGTAAGCACACAACCAACCAGTGAAATGTTTCCCCCATGGAGTTGCTTTTCTAATGCTTTGTTTTGCAGGCTTAGGACAGAAATGCTGCACTGAGAAGGAAGGTAAGCAAAGTTCTCTTCTCCTCTCCTTTCTTTGCAACTAAACCTCCTTATGCTAAATGACTAATGGAGACATAGGGAACAGGAAGAAAATAATATCATTGACAAAAGCTGCATGTGAAAAAAAAAAAAAAGGCAATTATGTACAGACTGAATCTCAGTTATGGTGAAGAATTCAGACTCTGCTACACCAGAAATCCCAGAGCACAAACACACACCAGGTCACTTTGGGTCAGCCTTGTACTGATAAAATATGCAAGTACAATTTGTATTTTCCTGTACATGTGAAGAAGTCAGGCTCATCTGGACAAACTCCCTCTCCCTGAATTTTCCCTCTCTGCCTGACCCTTGTTTAATTGGTTGTCTTTTGCTTTGTGGCAATTTACCAAGTAGAAGTTTTGCTCTGTGATTAAGATGCCAAGCGTGGCCTGGGACAGTCTAAACTGTCCACAGCTACAGCCTTTATGTAATGTTATAATATTATAACTGGTGCAACAGACAGGTTTTAAGTATAATGTTAAAATATGGACACTGGAAATGTTTCAGATGTTTACTTGAGCACCAGTCCTTTCCCCATCCAAGACCAAATGATCACAGGAGAAACTGTTTTACAGGCACTCCAGCAGGACAGAAATGACTGTGCAGCACCTGCTATCACTAAGCACCTGCTGTGGATGCTAAGAATACGCAAAATAATGTGGGTTCTTTCTTGTGCACAAAAAAATGTCAATTTTTTTGGTTGTTTTCGACAAATGTCATAATTAAGTGACTTATCTTTGTTTTCCTGCAAGTGGGGCTGTCCTAGTTTAGCTGTTAATTAATCAGCTGTCATGATTTTTCTTCAAGCCATTTCTGAACCAAAACATGAAGTGAAATGTTTGCTGCCTACAATAAGGCAACAAATGAATGTTTAATGGCAGTTTGCATCACTCCTTAAAACTGAGATATGGAACTCCTGATGCCTTTTCCTGAGGTGAAAGAGATACCAGTCCCTAAATCACAAAGTCACCTGCTACTTAATTTGTCACAATGTCTTTTGAAGTTCTTTAGCATATTCTGCTGAAGAACTTCGTATTCTGCTGTTTCAAGATCACAAATCCATTTTAATAATCCAGGCACACATGAAACAACCTTTCTGCCCAGGGTATACAGTATTTCAGCCTTTCCAATCAGGCAACTGTTCATTAGAAAGACAAAGCACTTCCTCCACAAAGATATATATTATTTATACACATTAATGCAACTTTAACAGGCAGCAGTTTAAGTTGATGCATGGCACCAGTTGCCTTTTCACACTAATTTATTAAGGAGCAGGTAATTATTCAACATTCCACTTCCTCACAGTCCATGGAATTGAAAAGTCAAATAAAAATGCAAACCAGAAGAAAATATTAATACAAGTACTGAATACATATACTGAGCAGCTACACCTCTCCCAGTGCTGGACTGCTTAAAGAGAGTATTGGAACAAATCTAAACCACCTTGCTCCAGGTGTAAGCCAACTGTTAGATGTGAGAAATTGCTCTAGGGCTGCAATCTTCCAGAGATGCCCTCTGAGCCTTCTCTGCCATCCTCCTGAAGTGCCTGGGTGCTGCTCAGAGCCAGAAACAAAGTGCCTGAGCTGGCAGAGCAGATGTACAGCAATGGGCTCTCCAGAGCACGAGGCAGTAAGAAAACACTGCCCTACAGCTGTCCTTGAGCAGGAGGAGCATCAGGGACATCCTCCAGTGACACACCAAGCCTTCCTGCAAAGTGTAAGAGCTGCTTGCCAAGGGACACCACAGCTTTGACAATACAGGGACTGTGCTTGCCAGGACAGATGGCTGAACAGTGTGGAAGATGCTGGAGCACAGCTAAGTCTGGAGTGGGCAAAGCCCACAGATTTATGTGAGTATGAGCCAACTGGAAGTGGGTTACCTGCATGATGCAGAGCACAGCAGAGCTTACAGAGCTGATCATGGCTTAAACACGACAGGGAGGCTGGGGAAGGAAGGGAGGTGTAGGAGTGTCGGGGGTAGGACGGTGGGGATGGATGGAGAGCAGAGATCTCTGCAGCCAGGGCTGGAACTTGGGGTTTATTGCAAAGGGCCTGGGGGCAGGGCCCTGCTGGGAGCTGCCAGACACAGCCCAGAGCAGGATGAGAGAGGAGAGGGGGAGAGAGGATGAGAGGGTAAGAGAGCAGAAGGAGCGAGGTTCCTGTTACAATACAATAAATCATCTTCTGTGTTGAATATTCTAATTCTCACTAACCAATCTAGTACAAGATACAAATCCTATAGCATTTACATACAGCCTATAAGAATCATTACATTACCACACTGTGTTACATTTTAAACCCTACAAACTCCTCTTTGGGCCCTTGTACCAAGCTGTAGGGTCTGCTCTGACCCTTGGGCCTGTTTGCAAGCAGAGGGAATTGTTCATCAAAAGGGGATCACCTTCAGCTGGCCACACTATTGTTTTCCAGTTGTTCAGTAACTCAGGTATCTCAAAGCTTGCTTTCATTTCAATCTCATAGTTTCCATATTCTCAAAACCTTTTGCCAGACAATCATATTTATAAGGCTTTCCTGTTTCATCTTCCCCAACAGGGAGGCAAGTCCATGTGTCCAGGAACCTGGGAGCACAGGAACACCCTGTCAGTGAACACGAACAACTCACAGTTTTCATCTGGAACAATGGCACACTGTCTGTGAATGCCACACTGCTCCTGGAAGGGGTGGAGAAGCCAAAGGGCAGCACTGGTGCAGGAGGTGACTGCTCAGCCCAGATGAGCTGATGGGAGACTGGCAGGTCCCCAGTGAGAGCCACAAGAGCCACCCAGAGCAGGGGACACCCAGCCCTCTGCTCCTGCTCTGACAGCAACAGCCCGGGGACCTGGCCTGGGCAATCACTCAGCCTGTCCTTCCACTCGCACACGCATCTTCAGAAGGGAAAAAACCCAACAAACTGTTCAAAATGTGATGGCCTCCATTTCACTTTGCTGCCTGGCATTGCACTGTAAGGCAATGGCACAGAAATGAAGTTTTAGACTCCAGTGTATCTGTTTCTGCACTCCTGGGACAATGACATTATTCTCTTAGAGAAACGCCAGGAGCAAAATAAGACAAGAAGGACAAGGACAGCATCTCATGACAGACAGTTACTCAGGGTAAAGTCTCAGCACTGAGCAGCTGCAATTAGAGCTGGTTTTAGCCACGGGCTCAGTCCCATTCCTCTCCTCACTTCTCAGCATTTCCTCTGCTCTAAGAAGTCTAACTGTCTCTGCAAAGCTATCTATTTTTGTCCATGCTGATCAAATACCTAAGACAAACTTCTAAAGGAAGGAATCTCATTTCAAATGTAAAGCTGGATAAAAAATACTTGTTCTAAGGTTGGCCAAAATAAATCTATCAAAATGGTGAGGAGGCAGCACATGAAACTCTTCCAGCAAGCCTGTATGTTGAGAAAGCTAATTTTTAACTGTTTGATTAACAGTTGAATTTTTACTTGACGTCTTGAGAATGATCTTAACTCTAAAAATGCTCAACTGAAGACAAATGTCAGAGGTGGAAGTGCTCATCTGAAAGCCTCTCACCCACAGCTGTTGGATGCTGTTTGTTTTCTTCAGACACCACTGACAGCAACATCTTGTTTTAACATGCTGATGATTTCTACTGTATAATTCAGAAGGACATACATAATTATATCCTTTGGAAGGACATAACCTCCAGCCTTTCCATGCCTACGCAGTGGTAATGGACAAATCAGGAACAGATCATTTGAAATACAATTTCTTCCTCAAGGAGAAGGTTTGTAAGCTATTCATGACATTCCTTCGTCAGCATTTCTGACAGATTTGCAGACAACTACCCCACTGAATAATGTTCAACTCAGCAAACTGCTTCTGAGTTGCAGTTCCTTCAAATCAGCATTTTAAAAACAGGGGGGAAAAAAACCCCACTTGCATTTCCTACAGTCAGGTAAAGTGTCACAGCAACATGATATTGCACTGAATGTAAATGAGCCTAAGCAGCAAAAGGAGAATAATCTAAGCTCTCTGCAGATACAGCCACAGGTCTGGCATTCAAGGGCACCATGGTCTGAACTTTATACCTCTGCTGTTCTGTCCTAAACAGGACACAGCCCAAAACCCTGCCACCATGCCAGATTTCTGTTTCACATAAAACAAACAAAAAAATCTGTTGTAAAACACAAAGCTTAGAGAATTAACTCAGTCTCTGCCCTGTCCCCATGAAAACTAAACAAAAACCCTAAAAATGGTGAAAACTTTCTGAATTAGAAGCTGATGCAAATAATTTATCCCAGTCCTTTTAGTACCCGCAGCCCTCAGAGCAAGGAGCAGCCGTGCTGGTTTGCTACAGCTGGTTTGTCTGCAGCTTGCCCAATTTGGGGCTTGGCACATCCTCAAGGAGCCCTTGAGCAGCACAAGGTCAGCACTGCCTGGACCAGCCTGCACTGCTGACATAAATACAGCTGTCCAGTGACCCCTGAGCCACTCCAGCCATCATTCTTGTCTGCTCCTCTGGCAAAACCACTGCCAGCCAAATCTCCTTGCTGCATGAATTACGAGCACCAAGCAGAAATGAGCTGCTTCCCAGCAGCTTTCACACATTTCTCTCCCAACAAAGAGTTCTGGCCAAGCTCTAGCTCACTGACCGCACAGGAATCAAACAA